CCGCTATTAAGATTTATCCCTTCACTGTATTGATACTCATGATCTAGGCTTTGACTGTGCGAGATCCCTGTGCTTTCTATAGTTTTGGGCTTGTTGAAAATGGCGCGCTTATTGAGATGGCGAGTTATGAAGAGCCACAGAAGAGCCGTGTTCTTAGAGTGAATTTTATATCTGTAGAAGTGAAGAAATTTTCGCTTTTACAAAAACTATTTTGTAACAAAGGTTCGATGGCATCATTAAGTATTATATTTAAATGTCTATAGATAGTGAAAAGGTATAAAAAATAAGCAAAATAGCTCATACATGAAGGGATTGACATTTCTGGTCTCTTTACCGACGAATCTGATCAAAAARCATGACAGTGAACACAAAATAATCTATTCTTATAAGAGTTCTTCATCTAAAAGAGTGTAAAAATCAGCATTTAATAAATTTGTTTGTGACAGTTTTGTACAATATTTTGCATCTAAACAAAAGAAAGATAAAAAGAAAGAGCTTAAAAGCTCTTCACAAATGAAGCCGTTACCTTACGGAATTTCGGCGCCTTTTTTCTTGAACAGCTGATGAACAGTCCTCTAAATGCTGTGGGTTCTTAATACTTAATTGTTTTACGATCATATAAGTTAGCTAGTCAACCCAAAAAGAGATCCATTCCATGCCTATTGACATGTAAAAAATTTACAATCAATCAAATCTTAATAAGCTTCTTGCTTCAGTTTGCTCAAGTTGAATATTTTTATACAATTTGAACCTTCGTCGTCTTCAACAGCCATTTGATTTGTATATCAACAGAAAAACGAATCGCATCGAATTCGACGCTCATTACAAGAAAACGAACACTAACGTCAACTTCAAAAAGAAATCTAACCATCCACCGCACATCAAAAGAGCCGTCATTAAAGGATTCGCAGAGAGAGCAAGACACCTATGCGATGACGAAAATAAAGTAGAAGCCGAACTGGAAAACGTCGAAGAGGTATTCGTAGCAAATAAATACACACAGGAGGAAATCAAGGAAACGATACACCAAACGAAAAAAGACACCCAAACGAAGACAAAAGACACAACAGAGAACCAGAGAGAGACATACGTTGTACCATGCATGAGGGGTTTGTCGTACGACTTCCATATATGGTTGTGCATGTACGGCGCTGATGTGCACATAGAAGGCGCTTATGTGCACATAGAAGGCGCTGATGTCCCAATTACGTGGAGAAGAACTTAGAAAATTTCAAAGACCTAAACTTAAACTGAAAAGAAATTTTTGAAGAACGAGTACTAAGATTCGAACCAGCGCTATGTATTGCCTAACCCGATATTATCCCTAAACCTAACCATTAAGCCACGAGACCAATTCGCTTGAGTGAACCTGAATTTTTGTGATATTTATGCAACGGCATGCATGAATAACCACGCATATGTACATAAGATTGAATATATAATTAATGAACCATCTATAGGGACATGAGAGCCTTCTATAGGTACATTAGAGCCATCCATATGGACATCCATATATGGAAGTCGTACGACAACCTCTACTCGAGGCATATCAACGGCCTATCGCACCAATTCAAACGTATAGCATCAAAATACAACTTTAGAATAGCCATGAAACCAGGGGGCAAAGTAAAAAATCTAAGAACAAAGGCCCGACCACCACTTGGAGACAGGTCGAACGTAGTCTATAAAATTCCGTGCGGCTGTGAAAAATACGAATACATAGGAGAGACTGGAAGAAAATGGGATACAAGGACCAACACCGACAAAAGAATATACATGGATTCTCTGGAGAGCGTGAAAGCTCAAAACAACAAAAAGAGCTTGTTTAACAGATATTCATGCGGACATTGATTTTTGGAAGACACTCATTACAAAGATTCAATCTATGCAATAAAATCCTGAGGAAGACGACCAACATGGCAAAAATACCGCCATCAGTGATTCAGACAGCTCAATTAGAGAACAAAACAATAATAACACTRAACTCACTAATAAGGGTTTCAGATCTACAATGAGTGTTTCTTGATCCGCAGGTCACGTGGATTTATACTCTAGGCGTACAGGGGATGCCGGGTATTGCTTCTGCACGAGTTCCCGTTGAAATCTGGGGTATTACATAATTATTTCCGGTAAGCTAATTTTAAAATTATTAAAATTAAAATTATGCAGTAAAAATAGCTAAATATTTGATGATTTGTTCTTCAGATGACGATCGACCTATGAAGCTTTGACATTATAAAACGTTTTCTCTACTGATACTCCTGATCACGCGAATCCTTGCAATCTATGGAAATAGATTTCTTAATAATCTGCATCTTTTTCGCCATAAAATTGATCCCACAATGCATTGAAATTCACGTAGGTGATATGAGTGATATGCAAATTACGATATATTAAATTTATGGTTATCGGCTTTTTAGAATTATTTTTTTCAAAACGATGTTCATTACTGATATATGACAAACAGGAAAACTATGTATTTTTCCCCATTTATTAATACCCAACAAACAAGACTAAAATGATAACATGCATTAACAGTTGATAGTTGCCGCCATCTTGAATTATTTCTTTTGCTTTTCAAAATCCCGCATCAGATTTCAGAATAACATTTTCTTCTACTAGCAAGAGGTGGTTCTCATTTCAATCATGGGACKTTTTGGCATGGARCTTTTTTGAACTTGATGTTATCAATAGCAATATCACTAAGATACGACTCTCCTCGCACTCCCACGAAAACAATCTGAAAAATACAAATGTAACGCAAAATAGCTTGCAATGAGTTTTTCGCGGTTAAGAACATAAACGAAGTCAGGTATACAGTACTTACCCGCTTTTTCCAATTTAGCCTAAACAGGTTCTTATGTGGAATTTTAGGCTACGCAGTTTCTTTACTTATTTATCCCTTATGTAATGAAAATTTACAAGGTCTTCAAATATTATTTATACCAAATTTAGAAGTGTATGCATGTTCAAGTTCACTAAAGTTTGAGTATGTTTTTTTTACATGAAGATTGTTGAGCTGAATTTCTATAAGAACCTATCTATAGGAACCTGTTTCAAATTTTAGGCTAAATAGGTTCTTATGTAAATGGGTTCTAAATTGATATTTTAGGCTAACAGGTTCTTAAATTGCAGGTTCGTATAAGCGGGTAAGTACTGTATTCGTGAAACCAGTTGCATGTAAAATATAAATTTAACCACCATAAAAAAATAGTTGAAAACAATTTACTGACGTTTTCGGACGTTAAACCTTCGTCGGTTTAAAGAGATGAAACTAGGCTTAGAGTGAATTTATATTTTATCTATAAAATAATAAATAAATAAATAAATAAATAAATAAATAAATAAATAAATAAATAAATAAATAAATAAATAAATAAATAAATAAAAAAATAAAAAAATAAATAAACAATTTATTTATTTATTTATTTATTTATTTATTTATTTATTTATTTATTTATTTATTTATTTATTTATTTATTTATT